CGCGGGCACGCGCGCCGCCGCGACGTTCGCGGTTGCCGGGCAACGCCCGTGGCGTCACAGCCGGCGGCTCCCGGGGTGGGGGGGCAGGGGGGTCGGCGCGTTCTCTGCACCCCGCGGCTGGGAGAGTCGCGCAGGAGCGTCCCCTAGCTGTTGGCTGGCCGGGGCGGCCCGCTTCGCGGGAGCGTCAGCTCTCTCCTCTAATCCCCACTGCCCAGTTCAGAGAGGTTAAGCAATTTGCCCGAGGTTGCCCAGCTAGGACGGGGGGAGATACAGAAGTCAGGGCCTTACCCGGTAGTTAGAGACCTACTGAGGCGACAGGGACCTTGCTGCCTTTTATCCACATCCCTCTACTGACTCAGGGGAGGGCTGCCTCCGACAGAGCAAAGCGTCCTTTTTTCTAAGACGCAGGTTAAAAAACAAAACCAAACTATTTGTGAGAGCCAAAGTCTTTTGGCCGGAGATGTTGCCAGGCCAATATCCCCCCGGGGCAGCCCAAGTCCCTCCAGCCAGAATAGCGGCTGTCATTTTCCTGCAGGAAATACCCACTGAAGGTTTTAACAGAAGAGATATGATTTGAATAAATCTACCTACCCTGTTCCTTCAGGTCATCCTGAGCCCCTGAGAACAGGATCCCTCTGGTTCACCATTCAGCACCTGCTGAAGTTATGGTTGGCAAACCAAGATAGGCAAACTGGACAAAGACCTTGCCTTCCAAAGGAAAAGTCTGTACTAGACAATCCGAAGAAATGCATTTTATTTGTTTCAAGTCCATACAGTAAGGAGAGCTGGTTACCCAGGTGGAACAAAGAGAAAACTGATCTATGATTAAGACATTGAAGCATCTGCACACGTGGGTCAAAAACCTTACCCTATGCATACCACATGATGAATACTGTGTGACAGAATGTTAAAGTGCTTTGAGAACATTCCTGATACCTCGTCCACATGGAGGATGTGCTCAACAAAACCCATCTCTCACAGAGGTAGGCTTTGGCCTCAGCCTGGGGCCAGTCACCAGGTCTTAAAGCTTCCAAAGTCACCCAGCAAGTGAATGTAATTCTGGACACGGGATCAGCAAACCCCTCTCCTTGCGAGGGAAATGCGAGACCAGGCCTCCCACGAGGGACCATGCGTCCTGGTGGAAATGGCTGTAAATTGAGTCCCAGTCCCCCCTCCAATTCAGTGTAAACTCAGCACTGTGGTTCTGGTGAGAACCCCCAAAGGACAGCCGCCTCCCACCCCTGCTATCCCGTGATGAGAGTGACATGGTCCCCAGCCCAGACCACTTCCTGGGCAGGCGGTTGTAAGCTGGGAAGCCCAGGCCTGACCTCCTGAGGAGCCTCCCTTCTTTCTCTTCCATCAGGGCTGCCCTCTCCCTCCCAGGAGTCAGAAATCCGTCATGCTCAAGGCACAGAACAGTCACATCCCACTCTCAGATGCGGGAGAGGGCAGCCCCCACATTCGTGACTCGCCTCTGCCTCAGGAATAGAAGTTCCTCCAAAGTGAACTTGTGCCCTAAATAATTCGGTATTCATGTCCATCTTTCGAGCTTACTTATTATAAAGGGGTGGGGTACCTGGACCTGTCAGACACTGCAGGGCCAGTGCCTTAGGCCAGAGTCATTTCCCTGTACCCCCCCTGCCCACTGAGGCCAAGGCCCCTCTGGCAGGGCCCACATCGGATCCACCTTTGGATGGTTCTGCTCTGACCCCATCCCCAGTGGGGCAGGCCTGGTGAAGCAGCCCCTGACAACCATGGCCAGCACCACGTTATGGGAAGTGGACCAGAATCAGGTGGCTTCCCAGGCAGCCCCTAAACCCAGACTGGCCTGCAGGATGAATTGAATAGGACCCTGGCCACCCCTGTTCACCTGTGGCTCACTGCTGGCCCCTCCTAGTCAAATGGACAAAGGAAATGAACCTGCGTTGTGTGTGTGTGCGCGCGCCTTGGTGGTCCTTGGGGGCGTGGGGGCAGGAATCACAACCCTGTGGATTTGACTGCAGACAAACCAGCCTTTCTAAGCAGCACAGAAATTCTTTGCCCCGTGGGCTCACGTCCCTTCTATTCACAGATGTCCACCTGGGTGCGGGCTTGGTGGCGGGCACAGCTCTTTGTCCATCCTGCCCTTCTGTGCCCTCCTAAGCCTCATTCCTATGAACAGAATTCATAGAATTCAATGGAAGACTCCCTTAACGTCAGATGCTTTGAGACACAGGCTGTGCTCTGTCAGCCTGGGTGCAGCTCAGCCCAGCCATTGTGCCCGTCAGCTCCTCCAAGTTCTCTCTGTTTCTCTCCTGGACAGAGTGGCTCATCCCCAGGTCCTCGCCCATGGTGAGAACTCACTCCTGCCTTTCCAGACACCTCCCCCTCATGTGCCTGGCTACCTCTGGGTACTCTCGGGAGACTCCTGGTCAGGGCCCCAAGGCCTGGCCTCCTTAGGAGAGGGCCACATCCCTCATGAACAAACCTTCCTGCCCCCCTCAGAAAGCTCCCTGCCTAGGAGTAAAGTGAAGCCCAGAGACAAGCTTCCAAAGTCACCCAGCAAGTGAATGGAAGCCTGGAGCTCCGCCTGCCCCTCCTCCAATCTCGGCAGGCCCCATGTCTCATGAGAAGCCCCCAGTGATCCCCAATGTCAGGGCTCCCCCCTACCACAGTCAGTGAAGTGATGGAAGACTGGTCCAAGGGTCAGAGTGACTGGATGGAACTGGTGACCAGCAGGGTGGCAGAAGGGCAGGGCGGCCTGTTGAGGCCCAGGACCCAGGGTGAGGTAGGTCCAGGGGGTAAGCCTCCTAGCCCAGGCCCTGCAGCTCTGCCTCTGACTTGGCATGGCCAAGAGGCCGCAGTGTCCGGGGGGGTCTGCCCTCGGACCCGCAGTCCTGATCTTCGTAGCTGGGGTTCAGATGGCCCATGTCCAGGGAGCAGAAGAGGCTGCGCTCGGTCCCAGCGTGATGCTCCACCAGGGCCTCCAGGCTGGCAAACTCGGCAGGCAGGTGCTAGGGCGGAAAGAGCTGAAGCTCCAGCTTCCCCTCCCCCATGGCTCCACTCTGGGCACCCGCCACCCCCTCACAAGGGATCTTGCCCCACTTCAGAAGGGAGAAAATTCGAGCTCAGAGAGGTCACCGTCCTGCTCACGGCAGAGCCAGACACTGTCTCCTCTCTTTCTCTCTTGCCAGCCTGGACAGGACTGAGCCATTCAGCCTGTAATAAGGGCGCACATCCAGTCCCTGGAAACCTGTGGTCAGGCCAAGACTCCAGACCTGGAAGCCGGGAGGCTGGGTGAGCTTAGGCCCGCGCCTGCCCTCTCTCAGTCAGTTTCCAGCTCTGCTAGAAGATGGGCTAGGGTGTGGGAAAGCCACTTTTAAAAGCTGGGATTCCTATAGAAATGGGAGGCATGACCCGGGCCCAAGACTCTCGGGGCGCCTGGGTGGCTCCCATGGCTAAGTGGCTGCCTTCGGCTCGGGTCATAATCTCAGGGTCCTGGGATCGAGTCCCCGCCGACTCCCTGCTCAGTGGGGAGTCTGCTTCTCCCTCTCCCTCTGCTGCTACCCCCCCCCCACTTGTGCTCGCTCACTCTCTATCAAATAATTAAATAAAATCTTTTAAAAAAAAGCCCCCTCTGGAGGCCTGAGGGCGGGGCCAGCAGGGCCAGTGACAAACTAGATGAAGAGTTAGTTAGGGGCGCCTGGGTGGCTCAGTCGTTAAGCGTCTGCCTTCAGCTCAGGTCATGATCCCAGGGTCCTGGGATCGAGCCCCGCATCGGGCTCCCTGCTCTGCGGGAAGCCTGCTTCTCCCTCTCCCACTCCCCCTGCTTGTGTTCCCTCTCTCGCTGTCTCTCTCTCTCTGTCAAATAAAATCTTTAAAAAAAAAAAAAAAGAGTTAGTTAAATAAGGGGTGTGGCCAGAGAGAGCCAGTGGGGTACCGTGAGGCGAGTGGGCTCCGGACCGCTGGCCAGAAAGGGCGGGGCTTGCGGGCCAGGGGCGGGGCCGGGGCGGGGCCGGCTGCCGGCTAGCTCACCTCCACGCAGTAGCGGCCCAGGTGGTTCCGGAAGACCTGGTGGGGTACCACACCGCACTGTGTCCGCACCGACAGGCACCACTGGCCACTGGCGCCGGGCTCGGGCCACAGCAGGAAGGCCCCAAGCACGTCTCTCCGCAGCAGGGCGAGGGCGCTGGGCCTGGGAGGGCAGCGGGGAGAGGCTGAGGGCGGGACCCCGGCCTCACGTCGCTCCCCTGGGCGATGGCATAACCAGAAACGGTGCCTGACCCAGAGTAGGCCGTCCGCCAAGGGAAGCTTTTAGACTTCCTTCCTAAGGGGCGTCTAAGGGGTCCTTGACAGCTGACTGCTTCAAGACCCAACCCGGGAAGCCCCTGGCCCGGGGCCACCGAGGTCAGGATGGCTCTGCCCTTGCACAGGAAGGTACACACGTCAGGACCCTGGGGGAGCCCAGAGTCCATTCCTCTGCCCACCCGAGGGGCTGCGCACCAGCCAGGCCAGGCCCCTCCTACCTGGAGATGCCAGCAAAGGCCCAGATGTTCTCCGTCAGGCTGCCCTCGCTCTCCACCAGGCACGAGGGGCCACCAGGCCCCCGGGGCCACGCCTCCCACGCGGCAGGAACTGTGGAGACCACCCAGGGGTCAGAGGGAGAGAGGCCGTCCCCTCCGGA